CATTTTCAACAATAATTAAACATACTTTAATATCTTATACAATTTTTTGACTTCCATCAATCACATCTGAAAATTTTTCAATCTGTTCACTTAATTTACATTTCTTACTTTCACTATTACATTTAAATTTCATAACTAATATCTCTATTCTTTCTCTACTTTGCAATATTTCATATATTTCTCCTTACAAAACTTCTTGTAGTACTACTAGCGTAAATTGTTTATTACAATTGCTCTTCAAATAGTTCATCTATTTCTTCCAATCTTCTGTAAATCTCTGGTCCTGCAGGTTTCGAATCCTTCCTGTCATTTTATCCAATTCTGCGTAGTCCATTAATTTCGTCTGCCATTCTTCTTTCATCAGAATTCCTTCTTGCTTCCATTTCTGGGCTAACAATACTCTTGCCGCTGTTGTTGCATATAAAAATAATTTAACATCTTGTCTATTAATGTCCTCACCTATAATACCGAGTAAAAATGCTTCTGGGTTTTTTTATGACCCAGAGGTTATTTTCTTGCCACCGTCGCTCAGGCCTGTCTCTCTCTCTCTTTTTTTTATTCCTTCTAGATCGGCGCCCAGTGCTACCTGGAGTGCTCAGCCTTGACTCAGAAAGGCCTGAAGGCCGTCTTTGACGAAGCGATACTCACCATATTCAATCCCAAGAAGAAAAAGAAACCATGCTCCGAGTGCGGCAGCTGCTGTCGAGTTGTATGACGATGACCGGAATATTGGAACGGGGTTGGGCTGGTGTTTGGCCAGAGTCTTCCCATCCCCTAATTTCACACCTGCACAAAAGATCGAAGGACATGACCAGGAAGGAGGCATCTTCAAAGGGAGATCTTCCCCGTCTGTGATTCCTCCTAAGCTTGCGCCTTCTCATATCTTACCTGCTTTTTTCTAACCGCTACAGAGCTGTAGATACAAGCAGCTGGTCCATATTGTGGTCACTTTTCCTCAGGCAAAGCTAGCTGATAAAGTAAAGCAGCTGAGAGAACTCTTCCTGCGGTGTCAGGATCCGGAAAAAACCGTGAAAAGATCTCAAAGGATCCTGCAGCAGAACTGAGAGAATCTCTAGATTCAGTAATTTGTAGCCTTCAGCAACAACGAATGAATTGATTTGCTCCAGTATGAATATTCAATCATGACCGAGCCTCAAAAGCTAAATCAGGCAGGCAAATAACTCTTTCAGAGTTGACCGTGGTTAAGATATTGGTGCAACATTAGAGATCCTGTTTTAATCTGCTTTTTTATGAATATTCCCCGTTTCGAAAAGAGCCTCATTTCTTGGGGAGGAGGGAAACGATGTGGTATCAAACTGACATTTACTGTATTTTGTCTCCCTTTCTATATATTGAGCATTATCCAACTAGAGAGCCATCAAAATGTATTGTCATTTTACCCTTGGGCATCTGGGATTTTATTTTATTTTTTACTAAATTGAGTACCACACAACCGAATTTTCTTGCTTGCAAATGGCTATAGCCGGGGTCTGGAAGGAGCTGCATGTATATTCTGAATGCAGACCTAGTTCCCTCTTCACCCAGTTGTTCTCGCTGTTGTTTTAAGATGTAGGATCCCAGAGCTGCTGGGTTGAAAGGGACCTCAACGGTCATCTAGTCCAACCCGCTGCAATGCAGGAAATTCTAAACTGCTCATTGAACAACCTCTGAAAGGATATCATAAAGTCGAGGAAGGTTCAGAAAATGGTAATGGAAGTGATAAATGGGATGACCAACTCCCCTATGAGGAAAGGTTATAGCATTTGCTGTTTATTTTTTGGTTTAGAGAAAAGGTGAGTGAGAAGCAACACAATAGAAATGTATAAAATCATAAAGTGGGTACAGAAACGGTTTTTCTCCCCCTTTCTCTTATCACAATGAAAATGAATCTTGGAGGATTCAGGACAGATAAAAGAAAGTGCTTCTTCACACAGCGCCTGCAGGCAGTGTGGTGCAGTGGTTAGAGTGTTGGACTGGGACCTGAGAGGCCAGAGTTCAAATCCCCCCTCAGCCGTGAAGCTCGCAGGGTGGCCTTGGGCTGGTCACTGTCTTTCAACCTAACCTACCTCACAGGGTTGTTGTGAGGATAAGACGTGGGGAGACCAAGCAGGTTTGCCATGTTGAGCTCCTAATAATAATAATAATAATAATAATAATAATTTATTATTTATACCCCGCCCATCTGGCTGGATTTCCCCAGCCACTCTGGGCGGCTTCCAACAAAACACTAAATTACAATAACCTATTAAACATTAGAAGTTTCCCTAAACAAGGCTGCCTTCAGATGTCTTCTAAAAGTTTGGTAGTTGTTGTTCTCTTTGACATCTGATGGGAGGGCGTTCCGCAGGGTGGGTGCCACCACCGAGAAGGCCCTCTGCCTGGTTCTCTGTAACTTGGCTTCTCGCAGCGAGGGAACCGCCAGAAGGCCCTCGGCGCTGGACCTCAGTGTCTGGGCAGAATGATGGGGGTGAAGACGCTCCTTCAGGTATACTGGGCTGAGGCCGTTTAGGGCTATAAAGGTTAGGGCTTGGAAGAAAGATGGGATGGAGACATAATAACAAATGATAACAATCAAATAGTTAAGCTATGGAATTCATGCCGGCTGTATGTCGTGACGGCTACCGACTTTGTTGGTTTTAAAAGGGGATTAGATAAATATCAATGGGAGCCAGTGTGGTGTAGTGGTTAAGAGCGGTGGACTCGTAATCTGGTGAACCGGGTTCGCGTCTCCGCTCCTCCACATGCAACTGCTGGGTGACCTCAGGCCAGTCACACTTCTCTGAAGTCTCTCAGCCCTACTCACCTCACAGAGTGTTTGTTGTGGGGGAGGAAGGGAAAGGAGAATGTTAGCCGCTTTGAGACGCCTTCGGGTAGTGATAAAGCGGGATATCAAATCCAAACTCTTCTTCTTCTAGCACAATGACTGTCTTCTGCCTCCACAGTTCTGAATACTAGTTGCCAGAAACCATGGAGAGTGCGCTCTTGGGCCCTGCTTGCGCATGCTTTCCATGGGCATCTAGTTGGCCATGTTGAGAACAGGACACTGGACTCAATGGGCTTTTAAAAATCTGCCGAGACTCTTCCAACTTTCAGCTTCCTTGGATTTGCACAAGTTCTAGTTATGAGAGAGGGAGAAACGCTTTTCTCTACCCATCCTCATACCCTCCAACATTTCTCTGATGAAAATAGGGACGCCCTAAGGAAAAGCGGGGCATTCCAGGATCAGAAACCGGGATGGGCTTCTGTAAATCTGGGGCTGTCCCTGGAAAATAAGGACACTTGGAAATGGCTGCAGTCTCTCCAGGCCTTGCGTAATTTAAACATTTGTATTGTGCCACCCCTTACTTGCCCTTTCTCTAAAGTAAAAGTATCAAATGTTTTTCATTCTAGTTTCCAGCTACAAGACAACCGAGAACTGCCTAGGACAACCCAGTGCCTTAAGGCTGCTGTAGGTGCCTTATTTACAAATGTTTTCCACAAATCATTTACCGTATTTTTTGCTCTATAAGACTCACTTTTTCCCTCCTAAAAAGTAAGGGGAAATGTGTGTGCGTCTTATGGAGCGAATGGAGGCTGCGCAGCTATCCCAGATGCCAGAACAGCAAGAGGGATTGCTGCTTTCACTGCGCAGCGATCCCCCTTGCTGTTCTGGCTTCTGAGATTCAGAATATTTTTTTTCTTGTCTTCCTCCTACAAAAACTAGGTGCGTCTTGTGGTCTGGTGCGTCTTATAGAGCGATAAATACGGTAAATGCAATTGGAAAGAGCAGCCTTTGGAAGGTTGTGGCGATTTTTCCCCCCTCGCCTTATTTTGCTAAATGAGCACAGATAGCTTACCTGTGGAAAACTTTGTGCATGGGTCATTGTTGTTGGAGTTTGGTATATATGGCAACGGAGAGCCGAAATAAATAGTCTGCTAAGAACTAAAGATTTCTTACTCCTGGCAAATGAAGCCGTTATGGTAAAGGTAAAGGGACCCCTGACCATTAGGTCCAGTCATGGCCGACTCTGGGGTTGTGGCGCTCATCTCGCTTTATTGGCCAAGGGAGCCGGCGTACAGCTTCCGGGTCATGTGGCCAGCATGACTAAGCCACTTCTGGCAAACCAGAGCAGCGCACTGAAACGCCGTTTACCTTCCCGCCGGAGTGGTACCTTTTTATCTACTTGCACTTTGACGTGCTTTCGAACTGCTAGGTGGGCAGGAGCAGGGACCGAGCAACGGGAGCTCACCCTGTCGCGGGGATTCGAACTGCCAACCTTCTGATCGGCAAGTCCTAGGCTCTGTGGTTTAACCCACAACGCCACCTGCGTCCCAAATCCGTTATGAGTACCAAGCTATTATATGTTGCCATGATGGAGTTCAATGCTAACATGAAGCAGGTTCAACGCTGACAGGAAGGAAGTAAAGCCTATGAGAAAAATAATCTGCAGGTAAGTTACTCAAGAAGGTGTCAGCAAGGAAAGAAGAGTTGCCTTTTTGTCTGTCTCCTCTCCCACTAGCTCAAGTGTCTTCCTGCAAGTTGCTTTACTCCCAGCAATCATGTGGGGGTTAATGGTGCCTTCAATAAAAATGTTTTTGTTTCTTTAAAAAAGGAGAGAGGAGGACTTGTGTACACCAAGTAACTGCTCATTCACAGTGACCAATCACCGTTGCGCGCCAAAGTCGTGTAAAAACAACAGAGTCTCGTTGCACCTTGAAGACTTTAACCCCGTGTTTTGCAGTAATGCAAGGATTAGTCTTGTCACAAGGGGATTTCCCCCCTCCTCACATGCCCCCCCACCATCCCCAAAACTGAGACAGCTTTCTCTCCCTTCCCCCTCTTTTACACTTGCTGTTCTTTTTTATGTTCTGGTTAAAGTAGATTAAATTTATTTTCACTTGGAGTGCAATTTGGATTTCTTTCAGACTTATTTTCACAGTATAGTTTACAGTTTAACAATTGCCTTGAGGTAGAGCCCCTTCACCGTCCCTCGCGTTTTTTGATGATTTTTCGTGGTAGCTGCTTTCCCCTTTACAGACATCCTTGGGTTTTTTTACTTGCTCCAGGGATGCAGTCAGTGTTTTTAATTCTTTATTGTTAAGTTGTGGGTGAACATATCAGACGACACAGCGATTCTTCAAACAGCTCTTGTTTATTCACAGGCCAGAACAGAACTGAACTGAAGGGTTCAGTCAGCCTGCTTATATAGAGCTCCACTACAACGCAACAGTAACCATTTTCTGTAACCATCCAATCACTGAACGTCACTTTCAATCCCTTATTTGCATAACTATCTACAGTATCCCCCTGCTGGCCCAGGGTGAGAACTTCAGTACATAACATTTATCTTTGCGGAGTAGACCAGCGTTGGTTGCTCAGGTTTCAAGGCGCTTGCAAGCAAGAGTGTTTTTTCCCAGAGCGCTGAGGTTCACCCCTTCACTCTTTGTTCTGTTCTTAAGTTTTGTGTCCAAAACGAGGAGGGGAAGCCCCTTGTTGCGCAGCCTGGAATTTTGCCACCCAAGCTCTCCACTTGGGCGTAGGGGCACCTTCGCCTTTAGTTGCTCTCCCTTTAATCTCTCGCCCTGCAACTTTGTCTCTCTCTTGATAACAGGAGCACAGACTACAACCCATCGCTGAGCGCCCTAGTCCAGAAGTGTCACCCACAGCATATTTAAAGGGCATGCTGGAGGGAGGAGATGTGGACATCATTGCGCCAGGAGAAATCCTTTCGCTGATGGAACGATCTTGCTTAGTGCTGTGTAGAATACACTCCTATCAGATTCATTATGGCATAACCTTGTGGGCTTGAGCAAACTTTGCCAGATACACAAAGAGAAATCTCAATTGGCAGGTCTATAAAGAAGAAAACTCGTAAGGTGGGAGTTGGATGGCAATGAACTGCAAACATTACAGTCAGTGATAACGAGAGCTGAAATGGATGTTAAATAGGCATGCCTTGTAGACACATGAGTTCTGTAGCTGATGTGTAGCAGTTCCTCAGCAGACAAGTCAAGGTAGACAAGATACCCTGGATGTTTGAGAACCACAGATTGAGATGGTAGCTGGACACTGGCCAGTTCTTCCCCAGCCTAACAGGTTGCCAAGGCATCAGAGAGGGACATCCAAAGTCTCAGGTGATCCTTGGCCTGCCCTCCTAGGAACCATACGGTTCCAGATTAAATCTATTATATCCTTAATAATTGACCCTTTGGCCTTGATGTCCCCCTCTGACAGTTTCTTAACCTAGTGCAGCTCCTGCAAGGTTTCAGGAAGAAGTTTGATCCAGCATTTCTGTCTGATATGGTTTGGCCTGAAGATTTCTGGAGGTGAACATGGGGTGGGGTGGGGGACCTCAGGCCCAGGGTCTAAAAGCAGCCCACCAGGCATCTCTGCCTAACCCTCAGGGCTCTCACTGGGCTATGCCCCCTACCCGGGTTCCACACCTCACTTGTTCCACCCGGTTTTGTTGGGATGGATTTGGAAGGCAGGAGAGGATACGTTATTTATTAATTATCCTCCTCTTGCTCACTTGAGTAAGGTTAGTGTCTAGTTTAGCAGAGTTAAAAATATACTGAAATATACTCGGAGTTGAGAGTGGATTTCATGCTCTTTATTCAGCTCATAATGGTGAGGAGGAATGCAAGTTCCCCCAGAATGTCTGCCTTATATACATTATTTACACAATGGGCCCCATGTGATTGGCTAATTCCGGGATTCTCCTGTAGGCCAATCAGGTTGTGGAATCACTTCCACCTGGAGCTGGATTGCGTGGCTCCTGCGGACCAATCATACTGCTGCATTGTTCTAGGACCAATCAGACTGCTGCATTTTGGATCCTATTGTTCTAGGACCAATCAGACTGCTGCATTTTGGATCCTATTGTTCTAGGACCAATCAGACTGCTGCATTTTGGATCCTATTCAACTCAGTACATAACATATACCATCCTTTGCAGCATTAACACAGAAACTTGGCACAATTAGCTTTCTCTAATTATCCAGAGTACCTCTGGCAGACTGGATCTTCCCCTTTAT